ACCTAAATCGTATAATTTATATTTTTAAGCACTTACTACTGAGAAGATCAATTTATCACTGTATCGACACAAGGGAAGTTTGGAATAGCTACTGATAGCTATAGAAAATTTTAATTGAATAATGACCGAGGAAACATCACTCTATAGAAGGTTACAATGGAGAATATTAATGTAACAGGTTAATTTCTATATACGAATTCCTATGAAACACGTTTAACTGTAAGAGGTGCAAAGTGTTGAAGCGTTCATGTGAACCGGGACGCGTTCGCCCCGCGTTTTGCTTCATTATTCAGTTTTTAAATATACTTTATTAATATCAGTCACAATATATATTTAATATTATAACCAGCGAATGTGTCATTGGAGAATCAACTTCTCCCGTCACCCAAAGAATCCCTACAAAAATTGAAAACTGGTTCCGCCGAATTTTCTCCCGACATCCTACAATTTCGTTTGAATGTGTAACAACTGACATCGCGTTGGTAGCGGCTTTCAGCGCGAGCCAAAGGTTTCGACAGAATCGTCAAAATGGAAATTTCCTAACCGGCTACACGTGTAGCTATCCCCGGCGTGGCTAACGGACGTGAAAATAATCAACGCCGGTGACAGGAGAAAAATTCATTCGCCACGCGCCGCTCACCCAATACGGCTCTTCCGACGACCCACGTGCCACGAACTTAAGGTACATCGTACGCCCACGCCGGCCCACGTTCGCGATGACGCATCGATATGCATCTTGAAACTGTTTTTACAGACGGTCTAGAAGAAATAAACCCTGCCATTTGCTCTCCACAATGAAAGCAAATTGTACGTTTCCACGATTCGCCTCGCTGATCCGACAATAATCGGAGTTTATCTAACGATCTTGGGAACAGACGACGACAAATAATATCTTTCGGATATTCGAGACAAAGCGAGCAACATTTTAAGACTCTAACGAGCATGGAATTAGAAGACTTGTACAAGTAGAAGATTATACAGTCTAGGATCTAGGAAATACCTATCACTTTTCACTAAAATTCTATCACCTCTAATGTACTAGAATTTCGATGATTGATGGAATCATTGTTCTAGATCGCAGGAAATACTCGACCAATCGAAAGCTTATTAACCCTTTGCGAACGAATGTCGGCATTTTGCTAAGATCAAACTTTCATGTTTGCAATACCTAATTGTGAACAAATGATTTAACTGTCCGAACAGCAAGAAATCAGTACACAGTTTCCTTATCCTCTATGATTTAAGCATTCAGTGTTTAATTTAGCAGAATTTGCAAAAGGTTTTATATACAATCTTCGTCCGCAAAGGGTTACTAGTTACAATCATTGTTCTAGATCGCAGAAAATACCAATCGAAAGCTTACTTATTAAAGCAAAGGATCCAAGTAACTTCATCAGTGACTTGTACAAAACTGGTTAATGAAGCAAGTTTCACTTATTCCTTTACTATAGAGTAAAAATATGTAGTAATACAAGCTAGATGAGAACCTAGAGAAGAATTATAATACAAAATCATGAATTTCTAATACCATCCCCCTTTCCTACGAAAGAACGAGCAATATTACACACAAAATCCTCGAAATTCCCGTGGGAGTCGAAGTATTCCATCAACTTTATTGACTCCCACCAGAGAACTGGCCGAAGGAGCGAACTCGGCTCATTTTTCGAAGGGAAACCCATAAGTTTCGAAGGCTCGCGTTAATCGCGCGTCCTGATACACGCGCTAGAGCCCTCCTATCGAAAACCATGTCTCATAATATATCAGCGCCGACATCGGGGGCTTGTCGTTCGATCCCTTCCCATCAATTTGCAGCGGTGCCATGTTCCCAGCATAGACATATCCTCATTTATCCCAATGTCCTACACGTCCACAGCCAATTTGCTAATCGAGCCAATCATCCAATCACATTAACCTTGCCGGCCACTCAGAGGCCCCGGTCTCCTTTTATTGGACGGTTCCTGCGCACAGGTTACACCGATCCGCGAAACAGGCCTCTCCGTCGAGGTGCAAAACGCCGCTGGTAGGCTTGGGAACGGCAGGCGAGAGGCGTTAGCGGCGACGCTGATGTTTCCAGGAACACGGAGAATGGAAGCCACCTTTACGACTCTTTCGCGAACGGTTCCGGGAACGGCGAACGGAAAAATTCACCCAACGTGCGCCGGCCAACGTGTCTGCCTATTGCTCGCTGATTCTACTTGACGCGATACTCGTGGGATTCAGATGTTCCTGTGATTGCGAACTTTTGCGAGGATAGTTTACTAGATGGAAACTTGGAGCTGAAATTTCTGACTTTGCGACGTTAAATACTACGTTAATTTTCAGTTAATCTCTTAGCAGTCCTGTGTTAGACTCGACATTCTATTTTATTGCAACCTCTACCTGTTTTAACAATTTTTTCTATTTATAGTATCACGATTGTACCGTTTAAAGGTGACATTTCAATGACTCCCGAATATTCTTGAATAAATTGTATGCAATTGAATGAACTAACGTCGACGTGAAATTCAAAGTGAGAAACTGGATCGAGGGTTATTGTTAGATCGTGAAGCAACTTGGAATTTCGTCGAAGATCGCAGGAGGCTTATGGGAATTTATTCCTCTTTTCGTTAGTACCTATTCTTCCCTGTTCAAAATTCTGGCATGAACTTATTAGTAGCACTTAGCACCTCCAAATTTTACTGAAGACAGTGACTTCATGAAAAATTACAATATATTTCTATGACGACTTATCCTTTTTCCCTATTAACTAACTCATAGAACATCCTATACGAAGTATTACATTATACACTGTGTACCGTGCAAAAACAGCGCGAAGTTGGAATCATTCGAATTCTGATTCCACACATGCAAAAAGGTAGTCTTATTTAACACTAAAACTACCGAGTTAAACTTTCTAATATTCCTCTGCAGAAACTCCAAGGGTGTATCTATCGAGAATTTAATAGATTTAAACTTCAGTTCACGTATCACTAAATCAATTTCCTTAACCCTAATCAAACCACGAAGTGACTTTGAGTCACAGTGGAACTTTACTTAAATTTTTTGATTATTTCATATTGCATTTCCAAAAGTTTCTTCGAGCTTTTAAAATTTGGACCCTATAAACGAGAACTATAACACTTTAATCACTCTTTTTATCCTCATAAGTGACCGAGAGACGTATTCGTTATAAAAACACGTGATACGATTAGGGTTAATAATATCTCAAAGAAACATGTTACCTTTTCGATAATTTCAAATTAGGCTAATGTTGCAATTGACTTGCAGACGATTTTTATAAGTTTTTTGAAACTTCTCTTACATTTACCTCTGCTAAACAGAACCCCATGTAAACCATTAATTCTCAAATTAACTCTCTGCGAACGAATATCGACATTTCGACGAGATGAAATTTTCGTACTTGGAAGACTAAGTCGCGGACAAATGATTTAGTTACTCGAACAGCAAGAGATCATCATGTAATTTCCTTTTATAATAATTAAACATATCTGCTGAAGGTTTTATATACTTCAAAGAATCTTCGTCCGCAAATAATTAAAAGGGTAGAGAGCAGTCCGTAAAAAAAATGTTACCTTTTCGATAATTGCAAAAAGGAGGAGTCATGGGTGATTTCGATCCTCTGGTAGTTTTAGTGTTAAAACTGCGAATGTCGAGCAAACGTTCCCCGGGTCGACTGCTTCGGCGCGACACGTGCGCGTCACCGATCACTCGGCACACCGTCACGTATCGACGGGGAACATAAAGGCGGCAGTTTCTCGTACGGTCGATTTAAGACGGAACCGTAATCCGAACGATCCTTCTCCCCTCCGTCCCCCTTTATCCCGTGAACTCCGACCCGTAAAATTCGCCCGATAAAGGTGGAATGATGTGGGGGGAGAGAGAACGTCAAGAAGATTGGCCGATTTTACGCGATCGGTCGTTAAATCGCTGATCGAAAATTCCTTCGGTCGGAACGTCCGGAAAAAAGGGAGCCGGCGCAGGGATCACCCTCGCTATCAAACACTGTGCTCGCGATATACTGCTCGTGTCAGATACAACTGCGATCGTCAAGAAACGGATTTTCCGACGCTGTATCGGCAGGCAGTGAAATATGTGATTGAACTTTCCTATTGTAGTAAGTAATATCTGCAGATCTTTCTTCTGTAACAATACCTGTTTTCCATGGACGTTGCGAAAGTAAATCTGTTTACTATGGTGTCGCCGTTTCGTTTGATTGATCGCGTCGTGGAACAGTACGATGAGAGGAAGTTAATATTTACTGTACGCTTTAATCAATTAGTGTTTAATTTGAAATGAACCGACGCTTAGATCTTGGAAACGTTCCTTTTACAATTATACACGCAGAAGAATATTATATAAATATTCGAAAAATATCTGCATAAAGCTCTTAAACTTCTCATTAACACTAGACGAGTCAAAATGATCCTGATTTCTTTTGGCAGTAATTTAAAAGGTTACACGTTTCTCCGAGAAGTTATTCAAGAAACTATCAATACGCAAACTGAATTTTAAACCAATTAGTTATAGACGTACCCTTAGAGTTTCCATAGAGGATTTTCGAAATGAATTTAGCTCTGTAGTTCGAACGCTAAACGCACTGAAAACAATTGATCTAATCAAACTTCTACAAACACTGAAACGCGACTATAGTAAACCGATTTACTCTTACTTCCATGGACAATACTTCCCAACGTAAAGAGTCGCGCACAAAGGAGTATCACTCGACAGGAGCCACGAGGGCCGTACGAACCGAACTCATAAAATTCTCACTCGATAACCACCAACGGAAAAAGCGGCGCGCGACAATCACCGTCGTTCGATCCCCAACAAAATCGAAAAGTAGAAAAATAGGAGAAAGAGGGAGAGAACACTCGTCCAATTTTCCCAGCGTGGGAACGCGCGTCGCGATAAACCGTTGTTCGCGGGATTCGCAGTTACGTTCGAAATCGGATTACGAGAATCGCGGACGGATTTCGTTTGGCAGCGGAATTTTCGGTTACCTCTCGCACATCATTATGCTCGGCGGGGGTGGAAATATCCAGACAGACACGGTATCGGTTTCATCGCCGCCGGTTCCGATTGCGCGGCGAACGGTCCGCTCGACTGCAGGTTGCAGCGTGCACCAGCTGAATCGTGCACCGTGCGGCGGGGAAAACTGCGACGCGACGCGACGAAACGCGACGCGGGGACCCGGCCCTCGTTGTGGGTTACCCGTTCGACGGCCCACGCCGCACGCCTCTGCGTCGCGATCGCACACCGCACCCGCCGCTACCCGTCGCCATTCTCCACGGAAAATTGGATAATGCGACCGCAACAGAATAAACGGGGGAACCCATCGGCGGACGGCTTCCCTTTCAATTGTCGGGGTTACTACGAGTTGTCGCGGAGCTTTTCGCGACGGTTCGTTTGTTTCTTGTTGGATATTTCAGTTTCGTTTGATTTCAGTTCGTTTTCAGCGTTAACGCGTTGAACGATGTACGGTTTGATGTAAATGGAAAAAATCAAATATTGAATCATTTGATCGAATTGCAGTATCATTGCACGTTCGTCTAGCTGTACGTCGCCGCATTAGGTAACATTATTTAGAATATAGAAATATTTTCAAATGGTCGTCGTTTAATTGAGTGGACCATAGTAATTCGCTTTGGTTGAGGGTCACCGGTGACCCCCACGGTATTCAACGTGTTAATACATTATGTACCGGCTAATTTTCCGAAAATTGAATTGTGCGGATGGCGATTTTCAGTGAGATTAATTTATGTCACTATAGATACGAGAATTCGGATATATTGTTGTGTAATATATTTTAAATAAATAATCAATTCGAATGAAATTTAATATTTCCTTCAATTCAGTGTGTTAACACGTTGACTGCCACGGTGGTCACCGATGACCGGAATATCCAAATTTCTTGGAAACAATGTTAATTTGTCAGGCACCTAATGTTGAATGAGAATGTCTAATAGCGTAAATAATTAGATGGCAGTGTGACGTAAGCGTTTCGATACCAACTAATAAATAACTACTGTTCTTTATCTTTACTACAGAAAAATAATAATAATAATAGGTTAAAAGAATTAACCTCTTACAATAACGTATTAGATACATAGTGTAGATGTTAACAATAGATTTATTGAGATTTACTGGACAGTTTTTATCTATTGTTAGAAAAATTATTTGTTCATTTAGATGTTAGACATTGGAGGCTTTAAGAGTAGACAATTAGAATATGTATTCGTGTAACAACAGTCGACTCAAACATTTAATAAATAATGCTGATAAAATTAAGTATGAGCCGAACTGACTCGTTCCGAAAATCTAGTGTTAAATAGAATCGAATAATGAATATCATTCGATCCCTTTGAATTCAAGTTTAATATTATTCCTCTATTATCAATTATTATACTTTGGAGAATATGCCTCTAAATCTGTTATTAATAATTTATTTGAAAAAGAACAAACTAGTATCGACCATAGTTGAGATTTGGTTACGTTGCTCGTTAATTAATAATACTCATTATATAATCAGTTACTGTAGAATAATATACTAGTTGATAAGTAATATTGTCTTTTGAATCTTTTAATTTCTCTCGACTTCAATAGTTACACGCACTTGCCTTTCACGTTGTACGTTATATCGTAAACTACTTTAAATCTTATTCCTTTTTCATTCAAATGAAATTTTCATCAGATTCCGGTGTATTCATCGATCTACGTTCGACTTTGAAAACTCTCGACAAAGAAGAAGGAATCATTTTATTCTGATTCAGTTCATTATACGGTCCATTCTCAGATGATTCCATTGATGTACGTTCGGCTTTGACGACTCCGCCGGCAAAGAGGAAGGAACCATTTAAGCGGTTCCAGTAGTAAATTTTCAAATCACGCTCAATTGCTAACTGCCCCGCGTAGCGAATCTCGCGGCGCGCAGTCCGATTGACGCCGCGCCACGCGAAATATTCGTGTCCCGCCGTAGAACAAAGAACGCTCAACGGCGTTGCGCGCGTTTCACGCGATCCTGGATTTACGATCTTATGTGGGTGATGATGGATGTCCGCGCAACAAAGGGCTCTTTAATAAACGCGAGAGTGATTTAAGGCGATTTCTCTTGCCAGACACGGTTTACGTATTCTTACACGCTTAACACGTACGCTGAAATGATTTTGTTTGGACGCGTAACGGCGTCACGTGTCATAATGGGTTCGCGACGTTGTAGTGTTCCTTCAGGCTGGCTCTCTCGTGCTTGGCTTTCAATATTCAAATGAGGGGACGGAGAATGAAACTCACCTTGGAGTACACTGTCAATTGGACGATGATACTACAGACGAATTGATGATACAGTTGTCGCATTGAATCGCAAGTAACAATGCACGCTATTTATCTCGCGCTGTATCACACCTCGCGTAGTTCAAGTTTACCCTTCGGTACGCAAATGAGGACCGAGCCTTAAGCCACGCGGATTCTACCTTTATCCCTGGAAGACCGGCCTCTTCTAATCACTCAATCTCCCCGCGCTCTGGAACCGCTTCTTTATTTTTACACACTCTTCTAATCCAGTAATTAAATTAAATTTCATTCTCATTTCCTGTGGATCTCCTTTTTATCTTAACACTAGAACTACCGAGCAATGATTGAAATGTAATCGCTAATATTGTAGTAATAGATTATTTTCTGTTTCTTCAGACGTTCATTATAGTATTCAAGAAACTATTTATTTTCAAAATCATTTCGAATATTCAGTGCTTCGAAGATATCAATAATTGAAACAGAAAAACTGAAACCAGTCATTTTGACTGTTACGTAGTTCTAGTGTTAACTCTTAGCACTCCAGATGGTTTTGTAATCTATCAGCAACTGCAACTAATTTTTATAGTATCTCTAATGAAAATGGAAAATGCTATAACATTCCTTCAATCTTTTATTTCCCTTCTCAGTGCAAAATTTGGATGTGTGGAGAATCTAATAATTTTAGGGTAGTTTCTTTGATTCATTAAAATATTCAATATTAGAACCGGTGCAATATTGGAGCCTACAGAGTTCAAAGGGTTAACACACGTGTGATTTTTCGTCGAGTTAGTTTCACAAGATATCGTCTTTATCTCATCAGAAAATGTTCAAGTATTTCTAGTGAGAAATTTCCGAGTGCAAAGGGTTAAACATTTTGGAGCCAACATTTAAGTGATTTACTGCTAGAAAGGAGATCGATAAATGGTTTTTTTCTTCAGTTCTTAAGGAAAATGGATTAGTCGATTTGGATGATTATTGTACTTAAACTGAAACCAGTCATTTTGACTGGTACGGTAGTTCGTGTCAAGCTTCATAAGCCAAAGCGTTTTAACTATAGAAACCATATTCTAGAGTACTCCCAGAAAATATAAGGAACCCTAACGTCTCAATGAAATCACTGTATCCTCATATCATCTAACAGTCATACAATATGTTCTCACTTAACACTCATTCTCCAACTATTCAATACAAAGATAACAGTGAGACATAAGGTATACGGATCATAAAAGGTTGAGTATCCAATAACCATGCAGCTTCTTACATTCAGCCAGTAACAACAGTTACTGTCACTAAAGAGACGATATTTCCATTTCACGAATGAAGATAATCCTCGCTGAAACTTTCTTGGCTAATAAAAAAAGCACGCCTCGCTAATTGTCCCGCAGGGGGGAGGGAATTGCGACGATTACCCCGGTAAGTGGACGTAACCGGAACTGATCGCCGGGATTCCTCTCTGATTTACCTATACCGGCAGGTTTAGAAGACATAAACCGCGACAGTTAGCGAAGATAGCGACGCGACCAGATGTTGGTCTATAATTTCGCCGATTTATGGTTAGCCAGCCAGCCGGCCATCCGGCTGGATCACCGCCGCCGAGTTATCTTCCGCGGAGGGGTTCTAAAATGCAAAGTACACCGCCGGAGAAGGTAGACCCGGTTTAATCACGGCCGGCCGGAAGCGGGGTTAAAGACACCATTTTTCACCCGCGTGAAAACGCCATTTTTATGGTCATAGTCGACACTTCGCACTCGGGGGAATTCAACCCACGCTGCGGATTACGGTGTGTTTCGAACGGTGGGTGTAACGCGGTACGGGTTAATTGGCGAATTGTTCGAATTCTTCGTTTTCTAGCGAAATAAATGTTAACACACCGGCGCTGTAATTTCTACTCTTCCCCATTTGGCGGCTGAATTATCAAGATTGATGAAAATATTGAAACGATCAATGAGTAAATTAATTCTCAACTATATGGCAATGTTTCCTAATTACCAAACCATTTGACGTGCCACATATATACACTGTGTAATGTGATATCTTATTGTGAGCCACCGGTGAACGTGTTAAACAGATAGATGTTTTATGAATTAATAAAATTACCGGATGAGTCGAAACGATTTGTTCCTGACTTCTTTTTTTGGCAACGATTAGAAAGATATGTTTCTCTGAGGAATTATTAAAGAAATTGATCTAGCATATACATTGAATTTTAAATCTATTAAAGTTTCAATGGAGGTCCTTAGAGTTTCTATAGAGGAATTTTAAAAAATCAACTTCTCGGTAGTTTTAATGTTAAGGCAGTCGTGGTAATTGTTTTTGGTTCTTATGTATACTATACAGGTATGTTGAACAATTGATTTATTGTAAATCTGAGATGTTTTATAATAAAAAACTCTTCAAAATATACCTTCTAAATATTAAGAATTCAGAATTCATTTAGAAAGCAATATAATCATAAGCATAAATCAATATAACAGAAGTTAACCCTTTGCATTCAGAAGCTTTTCACTAGAAACATTCGACACTTTCCTATAAGACGTGTATGACATCTGAAATGAACTAATGACAAAACATACGTAAATTAAGAAACAAAGCTATTTACAGAAATATTTAGCATATTGATGCATTATACGAAACTTAATATTATATATAACACTTAATTTTGTTATATCGAATCAAATGGTGACTAAGAGTCACCTCTCGAGTGCAAAGGGTTAACAACACAACATAATCTTTCATGATCACAGCTCCAAAAATCTCGATGTCTATTAAATTCCACTATCACCATCCCCAAAATTACCACATTCTCTAAACAATCGAAAATAAATACACACTAACAAGACCTTAATTTGAACAAAGAAACGTCGTAAAATTCTCACGTTCACCGAAATCTTTCCATTTCCGTTTCCATTCATCCCCGCGAACTTACGGCAGCTAAGGCCAGTCACGCGGCTGGCCTAATTA